GAGATTGCATAAAGAGCAATTAAAGGGACATTTGCTAGCTAGATTTTGGGTGGCGCATTTAGGGGAAGCAAGCAAAATAAGATGGGAGAGCAGAAGGTTGCAAAATACTACTCTAATACAGCTCAAATTGGAGATGTACTGGGCACTTCAGTGGCCCTGTTTTGAGTTCTTCTTTTTTCGTACCTCATACGTTCTGTTTGCTGAGTAGCCACATTTTCCTCGATCGATGACCAATTTATCAATTAGTCTCAATCTAGTCAGGCATGAAAATCCCTAAAGGCACCGTGCCTTGAACCAAGTTCTTGCTTCTTGTACCTTCTTACGAGGCCACTTTAAAGCTCTGTTTTCAAACTCGGACCGGACCGGCCGGTCCGACCGGTCAAATTGGGAACCGGCCAATTGTCCGGTCCGAGCTAACTTTAAAAATTGGGAAATTAAAAGTTCGGTCAAACCAGGTCAAAATCCGGGTTTGATCCGGTTTGACCGGGAAAATTAAGAACCGGGTTCCACCATGCATCTCAAATCTCACGCAAGGAAAGGAAAGAGAGGGACCCGCATCTCCTTGGCTCCATGTGCCCAGCCCAAAATCCCAAAACGCAACCATTTTTGTAATGGGACATGCATGCACAGTTGATTACTACAGCAGTGCTGCTACATCCTGGCCACAACTCGCTCGCACGTGTTCATACAACATCCATATCTTCTTGTTGCCCTCTCTCCATGCATGTATGTAGATTCTTTTTTTTCTTGAAGGTCAAAATATTTTTAATATTATATTTTGATCCCTAGGTTATTAAAAATTATTAATATATCTCAAATATTTTATACTTTATAAATATTATCTTAAAATTTGGTATTATTTTTTAATTAAATCCATAATTTTAATTCTAAACTTGTTAATACTCATTAAATAATATAAATTGCTATTTGACTGTTCTAATTTCTTTGTATTTTCTTGTTGAATATATTTGAAACATCAAATATATATGAATATACCTTTATTAATATCAATATATTATTATATATTATATATATAATATTTTAATTTTTAAATAATTTTTATTTATGACGTCATCTGGTTCGACCCCTATCGACCCCAGGTCGAACCCATTGACCCTTGACCCCTGATATCGGCCGAGTCGCTATCCGGTCCGGTTCTGAAAATATAGCTTTAAAGTGTATGGTTGAGAACCGTCGTATTCTTCTGTTCCAAAGCCCAACCATGTTCGAAGTGGGTTTTCACTCACAGCAGCTTAAGCAATCAAAAGTTTTGGACATTGGGTTTACGGCTTTTAAGATGCATATGGATTGATGCAAACGGACAAGGGCAAATCGAATATATATATGTATCTACCAACTAGATAAGAGAACAACTCAAGTTTTCCATTGATGCCAAGTGTCAAGGTCTCATTTGAGGAAATAAATTTCATTTCTTTATTTTGGACATTAAAGAGAGGGAAATGTCTATTTGAGCCTTGGTATCCAAATTCAAAGGCTTAATAGTTCCTTACTATTTAGGGGCTAATTGGTAACAATGGTTTAATTATTTTCATTTGTTCCTTTTGTTTGGTTTTTAATTGGTCAGAAAGGTCAATTGAATCCTTTTATGAAAACTAGTTCTTTAAATAGTTGCTAACTATTTAGGGCTATTTTTGTACATTTCAAATTATTTCTTTTATAATTTCCTGGTCAAATGCAAATAGTTGTGGACTATTTATGGACTCCTTTGATCACATGGGTTATTTTTGAATTATTGATTGAAATTAAAATATTGTTGTGTCATGTCCGTTAGAACTGGTTGCTCTGTCATGTAAGTTAGTCAACACCACCTAATGGTCTTATTAGTCAGTGAAATGAAGTTCCTATCCCTTTCTTTCCGTCGAATAGGTAGCTAGAACTCGCTTCTCCTTTCTAATTATCCTTCCTGTAAAATCTTCATTTTTCTACCAATTCCTCAAACAACTAATTATTTTTCTTTTTTATTGCAGTCCAGAAAATCCTCGACATGCACGTGAAGTTTTCTTTTGCCCAAAAATTCAGCTCAGCTAAATTTCTTTTCCCCCAAAATCTATCATCCTGCAAAATCTTCAGTTTTCTACCAATCCTCCAACAACTAATTGTACTTTCTTTCGATTGCCACCGAAAAAATCCTCCACATGCATCTGAAGTTTTCTTTTGTCCTGGAAATCAGCTCACTGAAATTTCTTTTCCCCCAAAATCTGCTTACTTTAGGGATTTAGGGATGACTGTTGTACCGAATTATCATCTATGGTACAACTTCCAAAACCTACTATTGCCAGTCTTATATATACTTTTGTTTCCGAGTTTTGCCAGCATTCAGCCGAGCAAAGAAAACATAGGTACGCTTCTATATTCTCTCTTCCTATTTTGAACTGCAATTTTTTTTAATGTTCCTACCTTCTGTTTATATTGTTTTCCGTTAATTAAAGACTGTTATGTGTTTGATGTTATGCATAAAAGAATATAATTATGATGATAATTCTTCGGATTAACTTATCTTTACTTTTTCTTCTGTTTTTTAATTTCAAGGGTTGCCCGACTTTTAAGAGGTGCCCTACTGTGAAGGCTGAAACTGGGTGAAAGAGTCCAAATATCTGCGAATCCCCAAGAATGTAGTGGATGGAATACAAGCAGCATAACGCAACAGATGCATTAGCAAGGTTAGCTGTGTATTTCCTAGCAAAATGGGAGTTGATAAACATTGACCTGTTGGCTCTAGAAGTGAAGTGTGATTATTTAAAATTTAAAACATATGTGTAGATGATCAACATTTGACCAACCATATCGATATGTAGCGTCGTGTACTCGGTTATCAAAGAAGAAAGTTTTGAACTATAGTAGCCGTTTGTGTTCCACCACTGTTTTATTGCTATAGGAGTGTTTGAAAATTTTCCATCTACCTGAGTTAAACGCAACAAAAGAAGTGCTGGGAGCATTTGCAGTTTTTGTATTTGCCGAGAACTTGCTATCTTTTCATCTCATTTGCGGAAGAAAACTTAAGCCAAAGATGACATCTTACCGTCGCAAGTGCATTCATTTTACCACCGTTGTATTCATTTTTGAGTTCGGTTGGTGCTATTTTCTGCTACTTAAAAATAAATGTCGATCCACCTTGATGAGAGGTTGTATTGGTGACAACTGAGAGGTGCGAGAGAGAGCTCACTACTGTGTGTATGGCTTTGCATGGTAAAATGTGGGTGCGGGTGGGCGGGGCGCAACAACGTCCCAGTGGTAAAGTAGTGCCACTTGAGGGTCCGTCTGTTTGCTTGTAAAATAATTTCCCCAAGAAAATCTTTTCGCTGAAAATCATTTTCTTGAAAATTCGCTTTCTAATATAATTATCAGTTAGTATCTCTCTATTACTACTATAGACAATCCATGTTAAACACCACAATCAATTTGAGAGTCAAAAAATGGTAAAAAAAAAACTTTTTAAAGCATTCATAGAAGATTCTATGCACAATTGAATAAGATGATGTAACCAACAATACCGTTGATTTAGATTCACTGAAATCTTTTGCAGAAGTTTGGTTTCCATTGGATAGGGTAAAACTTTTTTTCTAGAAAAAAATTTTTTGGACACTTTTTCAACCAAACATCAGAAAAAAATGAAAACATTTTTTTGAAAAAATTTTCCATCGATACAAATAGACCCTAAGCAAGCATGTTTTGATAGAAAATTATTTAAAATAATTTTTTTAAAAATCATTATTTTTTTAATATGATGTATGTTAAATAAAAAAATAATTTTGAACTCGTGTCCTAGGATGGAGAAAAATAATTTTTAATATCATTATCTCTAATATTATTTACCTCTTGAACCTTAGCAAATTATCCTCATTGTTACAAATTTAGTTGATCATATCAGTGGGTGGGCCGCTACGTAGCACGGTCAGAACCATACTAGTATGTATATATCTACCTTGTATATAAGAAAAAAGGAAGGTTTAGTGTTTTTTTTTTCCTTTTGCCATGTGGCTTTTTAATTATTTGACAAGTATCCCAAGCCTTTTCTTTCTTTTGCCACTAAACTGTTTCTCTCAAGTTGCTGTTGAAGCTTTTTCTTGCTTTCTCTCTACTGAATGGCTATTCTTTTTTTTGCCACGTGGCTCTTAATTATTTGGCAAGTGTTCGAAACCTTTTCTTTCTTTTGCCATTGAACCATTTCTCTCAAGTTGTCGTTGAAGATTTTTCTTCCTCTCTCTACCGAATGGCTATTTTGAGCAAAATCCAAGTTCAAGCACCTATTGTACCAAACCCAATTCCAATTCCTTTCTCAGCAAATCCAATTGAACCGTTTCTTTCTCAAGTTGTCGCTGAAGCTTTTTCTTCCTTTCTCTCTACCGAATGGCTATTTTGAGCAAAAATTCAATTCCAAGCACCTATTCTACCAAACCCAGTTCCAATTACTTTCTAACCAAATCCAATTCCAAGTGCCTATTCTACCAAACCCAGTTCGAAACGTCTATTCTGACCAAAAAGTTTAAATTTTTACATGATTTGGGAGATGGATTTTTTATGAAGATTTGTGACCAGTAGGTCAACTGCTACTCCCGCAGACACTTCATTTCATGTTGTAGGGATTGCTGGTCACTCACATGGTGTTTGTACTTCAAAGGAGGAAAATTGCGTGTAGGTGAACTACTCTTGCTTACACTTGCTGTGTTTTCCTTTTCCTCTGATATCAAATTAACTATTTTTATATTGATTTCATGTTGCAAGAATTGTTGGGCACTCATGTGATAATTGTACTTCAAAGGAGGTAAATTCGAAACTTTTTGTTAAATTAGGTATGGCATTCTATTCTCATCAGCTTTGCCATTCAATTTTCCGCTCAAATCATGCTTTCTATTCAATTCTCATCAACCGTACGATAATGATGAGAAATATCTTTTTAGATATGATTTTTCCCTTACAGTTATGATGAGAAATAGGTTTCCTGTTCATTTAGGCTGCAGTTTTTCCAGTGAATTATGAAATCAAAAATGTGTAATAGAGGTATTTAATCAGTGCATTCCGTTGGCTCCTGTGCCTTATGAACTGCAAGAAGAAGCATTCTGGTCTTTACACCTTCTTCTTTGGAGTCTCTTTGGTGAGAAAAAAATCTTTCCCTTTTTTTTGTCAAATTTTTCACGTATGAATAATAGACAGATTAACAAATTTTAATATACACATATGCTACAATTGATAGGTTCCTTTTACTGCGGTTCATATCATCAGTTAAGGAATCCTTAAATTTGAAGGTCAGTTTGTTGTCTTTCTTGAATCTATGAGCAGCTTTTCTTTGTTTCTGTGACTATATTTTCATAACTAAAATTTCACATTTTCCTTTTCTTTTTAGTAGTTTTTCTTCAGTTTCTGCTTCATCTATTTTAAGTTTACTAGTGCTCTTTGTTTTGTGTGATCCTTTGTGAAACAAATGATTTTTTATTTGAGCAACGGATTGTGTTAATATTGACAGTCATACTGTTTTTGTAAATAAAGCACAATAAATAAAGGAGAAAATTGGTAAAACCTTGAAACTTGATGTAAACATTCTTGATCATCCACTCCAAATTCCAGTAGTTGATGACATTTTTAAGAGTCCAGTGATCTCGTCCAAATGTTGCTCACCCATACATTTGAAATTTTGCTGCTGCAGCCTTTTGGTAATCTTCTTTTATGTCTTATTGCAACCTATTCAGTTACTTATTCACCTAAAAAAACAAGTAAAAAGTGAAGATACCAATTCAGCTCCCAATATATTATGAGTGGCATACCTACAAAAAGGAGAGATCCATTTGCTGATGTGATTCTAGCCAACTGGTTTGTATATAATCAATATACTATCAAACAGTCAAATTGCTATATACACTAGAAAAAAAATTGTAGTAATGGACATCAATAACAGATTTTGTGAGCCAAAGTCATTAGCACAATATATTTTGTGAGACAAACTTTTACTTGTGCTGATTTTGGGGCTGTGGCTGCTATGCTCAAGTTATTATTACATGACAAGTTCCTTTTTAACTAATTTCAACCTCCTGCTACTGGTGTTTTTCTCTTTAATCACAATGGACAATTTGGTAACACATAAAAATAAGAAATTATATAGAACCTAAGATAGTTTTTCTTAGAATGAATTATAGTTATAATATCTCAGATGAGATATGTGACCTGTTGTTATTCTAAATGAGAAATAGGAATGATTAACTATTTTTCAGAGAACTTTAAGGTCAATGCAGAAAGGCTGTTATTGGCAAAACTTGTTTAGTCATCTAAGTGACTATTGATTAGGCAACTTAGTGTGTGCCTTGTTTGTTGTTTCATTTAGTCTAGACTTGTCTAGGGTATGAAAAGTTTTTAGAGAAAATACCATCTTTTTCTAACATTTATTGTACCTTCTCAATTTTAAACCATTGATCAACCTAGAGATCATTGATAGATTTGATGCTTCTTTTAAGCCTTTTTCACAAGTAATCGTGATCATTTATTTGGTTTAAGAAGGATAAGGAAAAAAATAATTGGTGTTTTACTCTTGTTGTTTCACTTTCCCCACATGGTATGACTTATTGTTTTGCTATCTTTTTTTTTTTTTTCATCTTTCACCCGGTAAAAAATAATAAATTATCCTTTCTCACTTGCTTATTTATATTGATTTATTAATATATTTTTTAAAAATTTGAACTTTTCCCCCTTTATCTACATTGAATTTTATTCTTCTTTTTTTTTTAATTGCAAAACTAAAGTTTTCTTTTAAATTGAAGTTGCCTCTGTTGTAGGCTATTTGTTCGTTGTTCTTGCAAGTCTACATACGTTGCTACGTGGTTTGTCTAAAAAACTCAAGATCAAATTTAAGCTTTATGCTTTTGATTTGCACTTTTTTTTGATGTATTTAGATTTTTGAAACTGTTATGTTACTGATTAAATTAGAGGCCGCATGTTTTCTGTTCGAGAGTTTTAGCTTTTATTAACATTAATAACTATCATGATACATAAAATATGGTCTTCTCCCTAAAGTCTGATGGTAAGTTTCGTTTATTGTATGTGCTTGAATTCTTGGTTATTATCTTGGTATCTATACATGATATGTTTGGCTCGGGTTAAAACTGATTGTGTATGCACTTTTAGTTGCTATTGTGTTAGTTAATCATTAGTCAGACCTCTGTGCTATGCTATGGAATGCAAAAAAGAAAGACAAGCCAACACTCAAATTCAATAGATGGTCTATTTGATGAAGTTAGTAGTAGTCAACTGTTATTAAAACAGACAAATAGCTCATATATATATATATATCGGCATATTGTATAGACCTATTCATATATATTAGCAGAGGAGCTAAGTAAGAATTTTTAACTTCTCAAGAATTTTTTTAAGGCAAGAAGGAAGGCAAGTATAATATTGTCAAGACATACACTACTGAGGAATCAGCTCACATTCCAATGGCGATCACAACTGCAGAAACGAATGAAAAAATTCCAGACCTTCATGCTACTGTGCTGCAATCTGCTAACAAAAATGAATTTTTCAGTCCATCAATCAAAAAACTGCTTGATAACATCGCTGAAACTTCTGCTACTGCAAACAAAGTGCCACCTCCAGTGACCACAGCAAAGAGAGCCTTGGTTTTTTGAACTGTACCTCCTGAAATTGGATCAAATTCTGCTGAAGCTATTACACCTGCCTTACTGCCCACCAATGCACTCTCAGCTTTCGCTCCAATTAATCTTGCGCCTGGAAGTCCCTTGAAGAAGCAACGTGATAATGAACTCTGAACTTGTTTGAAGCCTTTTTGAATTGCTAATCTTGCTAATCTTGAAGCACTTTACAACTGAATTGCTAATGTTGCATCTTTGGACACAATATTGACATCCATTAAGAAATTGTTCTTTTGTGCAACTTAATGGATCTCAATATTTGATATTTTGTAATTGTAGCTTATCATACTTTATATTAAGTATTCAACATGTTTTCTCCCGTTTCTGTAAGACTAACTTGTATTTGAATATATCAAACCATTTGTAAAACTATTTGCCAATCTTTTGTCATCTTCTCTTATCTTTTGCAATGTTGATGGTGTTCTAATTTTGTTTAGTCTTATATTATTAGCCACATGTTTGATCGGTAATTTATGATTTTAAGAATAATATTTCACAAACATTACTGTTAATCTTATCTTATACAAAAATATATGACAACAGATTATAGGGAGTCTAGGCTGTGCGTAGCATAGCCAAAAACCTCCTAGTATATATATATATATATATAATGATGCATGATCTGGATATTCTCCTTGCAATTTGGAATACAAACAGCAGCAAGCCAAAAGTTTTATTTCGTTATTTTGGGTGGAAAAAGAAAGTAACTAATTACAAACATGCAAAAAAGCAGTGAGCGGATAAGTAAAAAAGTCATGGGTTGAAATGCTGCTTCTGTGAATAATATGTTATTGAAAAATATTTTCCAATATTCCAAGCCGTTAGATTTATAAAAGCAAAAGACAGAAAACGAGAGCAGGTTTTAGTTTTAGGACTCCAAACTCCAAAGGGCCCAAAAAATTCCTGATGTTACACCCAAAATAATAAAATAAGATAAAATAAGATTGGGTTGCTTCTGTACTAAACAAAATCGTGGGACATCTTTCATGTTACTGCTGCGCTTTCTTACTAACTTGTTCATTTAGCGTCCCGCCCCGTGCGACATCCCGCTCCAATCAGCTCACTGAAACTGACGACTTTTCTTGTCACAAAAAAAAGAAAAGGAAAAAATCGTCCTCCATCCTTCCCAAACCCCAAAAACCCAAAACCCTTTCGCAGGTTTCAGCATCTGTACCATTGCTCGAAAGTACTAGTTTCATTTTCACTTCTGACGCTGTGAGTTGATAATTCAGTTTTTTCTTGCATTCCAAATTCGCAGGAATCTGAAATCTTCTCTTCTATGCATTTCAATCGTTCACTTTTCAAATCGTAGAAAGATTTTATTTTTTCTTTGCAATCCAAAGGAGGGGAAATAGAATGGCGTTTAGACGCAGTATTACAGCTCGAGCCAAGAATCTTTACCGAGAGCAACGCTACGCTCCTTCACTTTCCCACATCAATCACCGCCAAAACGACGACGATGATACCAAACCCAACTCTGCACCAATTTCTGAAATCCCAAAATCTCCATCTTTCCTCACGAGAAGATTTTCCATAACCCAATTCGCCAACTTTAATGGCTCCAACCCAAAGGGTCTGCTTCAAGACCGGAGATATTCATTTTCGTCGGGTGGCCAGTTTATGGGTGCGATGAATTATGGGTTGAATTTCAGTAGAAATATGTCGACTAGCATTGGGGAAGCGGCGGCTGAGAAGATTGATTATATTACTGATGTGGCGGATGTGTTGACTGATCATACTGTTGAGGCTGTGGTGACGCAGGCGGCTCCGGTGGTGAATGAGGTGGCTGTTGCCGCCGCGGATTCATTTCTTCCTGTAGCTGCTTTGCAGTATTTGATTGATTACGTTCATACGTTTACTGGATTTAATTGGTAAAGACTAAAATATTCTCGCCTTTGTGCAAAGTAGATTTTGTGGTTCGATTGCTGAAAATGCTTTATGATCTAAATTCTTGAGATGAGTTCTGCTGACTCGTTGTTCCTTCTAGCTGCTCTGCAGCATTTGATTGCTTATGTTCATAAGTTAACCATTTTCTTGTCTGGCAAAGACTGAACCTTTCCTGCTCTTACTCGTAAGAAATGTGGCTAGCTTTTGTCTATATTTTGAAAATTTTTTAAAGATGTTATATTTCTCTTAATTTGGTTCTATGAAGTGTAAGATCTTTGACATTAGTTATTTCTTTACACTTTTTGGGTTTTGTGTTTTTTTTTCTTTTTTAAATGAAAACTGAGAATCTTAATCACAGTAGTTAATTAGGATTGACAAATGCAGATTGTTTGGGATGCATAATATTGTAAATTCTGATCCTTCAGTGTATTTCTTGAGTTTTGCTGCCATTGCTACGAGAGGTGATTGCCTAAAATTTTATTGTGTATGAAGTTATTTGACTTGGTGATGCTTGCTGAAAATTTTCAGGTGGGCATCAATTGTTGTGACAACTATATTGATTCGATGGGTTACAGTTCCACTTATGATTAATCAGCTGAAAGCAACTTCAAAGTTTACTGTAAGTTGTTGGGCCTTTTTGTCTTGGTATTTATTTGCTAACCATTATGTTTTCTGAAATGCTTTTGGGTGTTCTGGCATATCTTCTATAAATGTGATATCTGGCGCAACTTTGGATATGACTTTGGAGATTAGGATATCATTATCTGATGCAAAGAATAGATCGACACAAATTGAATTTGAAATGTGCAGTTTAAAATCTACTGTGTTCAGATTAAAGGGGTGTCCAATATAGCAGACCTGGTATTTTGTTGTCCCTTGTTTCACCCAATTTGACCTTCTTAAATACAAAGTTGACTAAAGACACTTGAATCCATTTTGATGTATTTTTATGATTGTAAATGAGAAACATCTTAGACGTACCAATAACTAGTGTATGCGTGCATTCAATTCGCCTTGCCATTTTCTTGAAACCTGTTCTTGAATCTTCTGTAGATGGGTGGTTCAAGATCACTTCTTAAGTGAAACAGTCAACTGTTTAGAATTGGATTTGAACGAGCTAGGGCTTTGCATCAATGAAGCAAAACTTTCTAAAATTAACAGAAACCTCAGTTTGTCTAAAAGTGTAAATGCTAGTTCTGAAGAATATTCCTGCAAGTCACTTGATCACCTATCAACCGCTTTTGGATTTGTGAACCATGAACCAGAATATCTTTCAGTCTGTTTCCTAGAAGCTTCTGCATCACGCTTTCTCTGCATTATTATGTGCTCCTCAATTTTGTGTCTAGTACTGATGATTTTTTAAACTTCCAAAACTGCTATATCAACCATCTGTTGTGCTCATCTATGCATAAAACAAGTTAAGTAGTTTTGAGTAAATTTTTTTAATCCTTTGTAGCATGATTTCTTAATGTTGACGTTGTTTGCCTCTTTGTTGAGATTAGCTCCCTCTTAGTGATCTGCTTTTCTCCTGCAGCTTCTAAGGCCACGTCTGGAGGAGATTAAGGAAGAGATGGAAAGTCGGGTAAAGTGATTGAACTTTTTTTCTAATCTGCTATACTCAGCTCAAATACTAACTCTTGAGTTGCTGGAGTATCTATATTCTTAGGCTCCGTTTGATAACATTGAATTTGAATTCTGAATTCTGAATACTGAAATAATTAATTTGCTGAATTTTAAGCACTGAAAAGAGATATATGAATGTCTGAATCTTAATGCTGAATCTATTTATATTGTTTGATAAATATTCATAACTTAATGTTTAATAAGCTAAATTGTACAATTTTGCCCTTCTATCTTTTAATCCAAAAAGGAAATAGAACCTATGATTTAATTAACTTAAAATTGTTAGGTATGAAAATGACAATGATTGTGAAGAGCAATGCATACAATGACAATGTTTCTTTTGGTGGGAAAAGGGTATGGTTTCATCGTTTTGAGAATGAGAAAACGAGCTTGTAATACTCCAAAAGCACGTTCAATTACATTTCTCAATCTTGCATGTGCTTGGTTAAAGCGTTCTTCTTTTGATCTTGGACGAGAAGCATTTCGAAAATCAGACAACCAATAACTAATATTTCGATATGGTGTCATAAAGCCACGTGTGTGTGGATAAGCTGCATCACATAAATAATATTTATCTGCACAAATAATATATATATATATCAAAATATAAATATTTGTGGATGAAAATTACTGCAAAAAAACACTATTGTTAAAAAAAATTTTGAATAGAAAATATTAGGTTGTTTTGTTTAATTAGATAAGGATTTTGAATAGGCAATATGAAATTGTTTAATTAGATAAGGATTTTGAATGTAATTAACAAACAGGGATATATTTGGTAGATAAGATAAAGTAGTTGAAGTAAATCTCTTGATTCTTATCAAATTAAGCATTCAGCTACGATTCTTGTGCTGAAAAAAATACATACAAATTCAGCACCACTTAATAAGTTCAGCAGGTTTTATTTATCAAACACCCACAACATCTGAATGTTTGAATGAATTCAGTTTCAGCACTTTTTATGTTATCAAACAGGCACTTAGTCTTGAACCTATGGCTGTGTCAAAGTACTTTGAACCCCCATAGTTTTATTTCCTTGCTTCACTTGATCTGTGTCGTAGATGAGATTGGGCCATAGAACCCCATATATTTCCTTTGCATGTGGTTGTACTTGAATTCAGATTACTTGAATAGAGGTAGTACAGAACCTTGTTGCCTCAAAGGCGATTTAATACTTGTTAATTTTTTCAGGGTATGAGTCCTACTGCCGTGTCTGAAGGTCAGCAGCGAATGAAGCAATTATTTAATGAGTAAGTTTCCTTTCCTTGTTGAAGTCATCTCATCTGCAATTTAGTTCCTAGTGTTTGAATTTCCTGTTTCCTGTCATATGAAACTGCTGTTTCAGAAGTCAAAGACAAGAAAGAAAAAAGAACCTAAACCTGTTTTTCTAATTTTTTATCTGCATTTTTAATCTTCAACTTGACTTCCAAAAGATGAAAATTTGATTCTATTTATGAATGATGGCCAATATGTATCGAACAATAATAGCATAAGGTTTGACAAGATCTTTGAAGCATAACTTGACTCCCTTGTCTGTTCTTATTAAATCTTAATGTGCCAGTCAGTCTTTTTTCATCGGCAAATATGTCTCTTCCCTAGCTCATTTAGTTTCTATTTCTGGTGCAAAGATGATTTAATTCTGCATCAATTTTGTCGGAATTTCTGATCCCTCATATTTTATCATGCTTATGTTTTATAAAGCAAATGATTTACTTTTTGGTATAGAGTCCTTTTGTTTACACAAACAATGTTTGGGTGTT